TTTGTTATATGAAACATAAAAATTGACATGCTACAGTCCGACGGTACTGTGAATAATAAATTTATTAATTGGTATTCATATACGCACATCCAAACTTATGGGAATATTTATTTATGTTTGTACATGGAGCACGAATGAAATATGAATGAAGGCGATATGAAATATGCATTCTAATTTTAAAGAGAGTGAAATTCTTGGAATGGAATTTTGCAATAGTAATAATAATTCGAATTATACTCCTTAAGTAAAATCTACATATAAGCACACTATTTCCCGCCCTGTCGACAACCTGATATCAAGCAGTAGTGATATCAATTTTTACTTGAAAATATATTTCCTATATACTTAAATTTTTATAAAAAAATAGTTTTTCTCCAACTGCATCTAACTAAAAATATACTACCAATAATTAAATAAATGCTAAGAAGAAAAATATCTGAAGAAACAATGCTAGAGTCTAAGTTATCGAGAAAACGAGTCAACCAATTTGACAAACTTGTGAGAATCAGAGATTTCAACAATATGAAGAAAAATCAAGAAAAATGCTTATTTCGATTTTCATTTCTCTTCCGAAAATTTCAATTTTGTCAAAATTTTCAACAATTTTTCATTTCTATGTGAGACTGTTTACACAAACCACAACATTAAGACCTCTGCCTAAATGACACTAAACATCATCAATTATATTAAAATCATTTTTTCATAAACACTTTCCAACTATAACTGAATATATTAAGTCAAGAAGTACATCCGTACATTACATACTGTAATAAATTGTAATTTTACATAATCAAGCTATCTAGTCTATCAAACTCAAAATTGGATCTCCTAAATCATTACTTCTCTATCACATTTATTTTAGTAATTTTTACTTTTATTTTGTTTATTGAGCTTTAGTTTTATATTATATGTTGTAGACTTCCCAGTGGATTGGTGGTTAGAGTGAAAAAATTTTAATTCTAAGAAGTTTCAATTTCGGAACTCGCCTCGGTCAGCCTAATGTCAAGCAATGGTGAGATCGGTTTTTGATTGAAAATATAGATAACAATATGTTTCCAAATTGAAATAGCTCCTACAAGCATTGGCGCATCCGAAAGAATTGTTCTAATAATAAAAAATAATACACCATAAAAAGCCAAAAAAACAAAGTTGATCTAGAAACCCAAGCCAGATATCATCACAAGAAGCTTATAGAACTATTATTTTTTTATTTCTGTTAATAATATATAGTTGATTCCATATAGACTAATGTCAAGCAATGATGACATCGGTTTTTGATTTAAAATATAGATAACAATATGTTTTCCAAAAAAATTGCTCCTGCCAGCATTGATGCATCTAAAAGAGTTATTTTAATAATAAATTCATCATAAAATGCTTAGAAACCTAAACAGATCCTGATCTAGAAAGCCAAGCCAATAAGATATCATCACAAAAAGCTTATGGAACTATTAATTTTTTATTTCTGTTAATAATATATATATAACTGATTCCATAAAATCATTAACTGTAACGTATGCAAGTCGTATATTATATCAATAAATTAAAATTTCACAAATCAATAAATTGAAATTTCTTCATCCGTTCGATCTTTGTACAATCTATCAAGTAGTATCAAAAAGAACTAGACCCCTAAACTGAAATATAATTTTTATACAAATTTTATTTCTTTTTTCCATCATATTACTCATATATGCAATTTTTACTAACTTAATACTTTATCAATTTTATATAATAACGAGTAGAAATTTACTGTGATCTTCTACAGCAGACAACATCTCTGACTGAGATTTAGTATGTATGAAGATGTATTCTGAAGAAAGAAAAAAAGTACAAAATAAATGTGCAGAATAATTTTAAATGCCTTTGTGCAGACGTATTTTTGTTTTATCATATCAGCCATGAAGACAGCCATCTTCATGCTATTGAGCTTTTGTAGCGGAAGGCTGCTACACCGAAGTTGGGGTTGCAGATAGTTGGATCGAGCCTATTTTTCATTTCTAAAACAAAGTCTTTGGATCAAGTAGAACTTAGTGACACATTATTTATTGTAATAGGAACTGACAACAAATATACAAAATATAAACACAGTTCACAGCTACAACAAATACAAATATAACCTAACAAGTCATCGAAGTAGGATCTTTTTAAGAGAATTTTTACATGGCCCTTATTCAGCATTCGGCTATTAAAAGTACATTATTTGTTGATCTTACAGCTTGATATCAATCGAACCATTATAAAATTAATGTATCCTTTTTACACCTACATATATCCACGAATTTCTTAGAAATTTTTAGAGTTTACTTCCATTTGGGAATATAACTGTCAACAAGCCGCACCTGGTCGACAATATCCGCGTTCAATATTTAGTATTCATAAACGGATTATTCGTCGTTCGGCTACTGAATAACAATACTCGTTATGAACAAAACATGCCGTAAAGCACCTTGCAAAAGGTAATAAAGCAGTACAACGAAATGCGGCATTAAAAACAATAGCGTACTTTAGAATAAAAATATTAAGGTAATTCAACGACCTTGGCCGGAGGAATTCCTCAATAGACATACTAATCAGGAGTAATTGAAATTGAATTTTGTTCAATACAAAAACAACATGTTTGATAAGCCAATAATGTATGTAATATAATTTTCCAACCTCGGCTAACTCGATATCAAGCAGTATGATATAAAATTTTCTTTTAAAGTAGCATATCTCAAGAATAATCTCAAGTCCAGCAAAAACTCTAATCTTTTCCCACGTGTAAAATTGAGTACTTGTTGTAATATTTTCATTATTCATTAATTTAGAAAACAAATCGATAAAAATTAAAATTACATTTTAAACGAGTAACCGCAAAAAAACGGTTCTACTGGTTTGCACAAAAAACTAACTAATAGAAATTAAGATCTAACTTGACAATAATTAAAATAACTGAAAAAAATATATTTCGTACTATCTCATTAATAAAAATTTACCACCGATTTTGACATTGTTTTCGTATGTGAAAATGTTGGACTTTCAGAGATATTCAATGCAATTTGTTTGCATTTAGAATGGATGCAATTTAGCACCATTAGTGAAATAAATTTAGTAGTCTAAAATTGAAATAAAATGAGTTTTTAATAATAAGTTCTATATTTATAGTCTTTATTGACAGAGAAAACAAAAGTAGTAATTTTCTTTGTAGTAATTTTCTTTGAATAATTAATTAGCCAAAAGTAGAATCAACAAAACAATACCGTATCTTAGGAATAATTTTACTGTTATATTCAGTCTTTTTATTTAATATCATAATTTTTTTTGTACTATTCATCATTCATAATCAAAGATTTAGGTTAAATCTTAAAAATAATAATTAATTTTTAAATTAATAATAATAATATTAATTGGAAACACTAATAGTTTTAATTGCAACTAATTTTAGAAAGTCTGCTGAACAAAATTGTTTCATATAATATTGAAAGAGAGCTCAAAAAAAAATCAACTAATTTAAGTGTTTCAAGATAAAATCTATGTTTTTCTTTACTACCCAATTCGAGATATTGACAAAATTAAGTAAATGCTCAAAAATGTATTCTGAAAGGTTCTAACTATCGTTAAACATTTTTGCCAAAAATAAATAGTATTTTTGGCTTAATTCTTTCATTTTTTATCTGTTTTCTAATCGATAAAGAATATTTGAACGTAATATACATTTGAATTGTATGTTAAACTAACTGTAGGGGGAAGTCCCCAAATGGCGGACACCTAAGGTTATTTATAAATAAATCAAAAAATATTTTACGGAATTATTTTAAGATATTGTAAAAAAAGTCACTATTCATCCACCCTTTTGGCTGAGCCACACCGATGCTCTCAGCTGGAGCATTCATCATAAGATTTTCATTATTTGACTACCAATACCAACCTTTGATTATTTTACTACCAATTTATACAAAGAAAGGACCATAACATAGCGTTACCATAACAACGCTATATTTTATCGGAGAATCAAACCATTAAGCCTTGAAATTCTCTTCAACGGCAAAACAATTTTCCGAGACTACATGTGTAGCCTGTTTATTTAAACTAAGAAAATTGCATTTCAAATTTTTACTACAGAAACGCATATCTATGATTAAGTTACAGCGTATTATCGCATTATCGTGTTTTTAGAATATTGAACGCATGACCAATCTAATTTGTCAGGTGCATCCTTTAGGCTGTCTAGTGTTTTGATAAGTGATCAGGAAATTCTATGTAGATAAAGTATTATTTCTGTTTTTCCTCAAGAATACATTCCGACAAGGCGGTAAGAAAAAATAAATAAAAACTCGGAATCTCACACGCACTTACATTAGACTACGTAATTATTATCGCTCGGAGCTACGCTAGAGAGAATTCTAAGGATGCACTAGGGTCCGTCCAAGTGCTTTAGGGCTTGATTTAAAACTTTTCTTACAAAATTACGATAATACAATTTTCTTGCTATTATTGTTTAATTTTGAGATTACTTTAGATAAGGAATTGCTATTTAAAAATATAGTTTTAAAATATGTAAGAAATTGTTTTAATCAATTTTTACTGATTCCTAGAGAGCTTCTCTAAACTCAATTGAAAACCTGTCATAGACATTATTTAAAATAATTTGTTTAATATTATTTAAAATTTTAATAGTAGTTAATAAAAAACGCTAGAGTTGGCAAGTTTTTGAAATTTATAATCAAATTATATTATATATATATATATATATATGTTTAATTTCAATTTTTATAGTTAACTTGATTACCACTGAATGATGGCTAAGATGCTAGCCGAAACGTATGGATTTTAAATAAATAAATTTTTAAAAAAAACTCATACTATTTTTATTGATGTTACGCCCGATTATTAAACTCAAATTAAACATATATATCAACATCAAATTCAAGACTATTCAAAAATATATATATATGTATATATATATATATATATATATATATAATTATTCTGAAACAGAACCTCACATAATTACTTACCTAGTAGATTTCCAAAAAGTTTGTTCAAACAGATAGCACCCAAAGGTATCCCTGAAAAGAACAAAAAATAATTTAAATTGTATTGTATTATATCTGTATTATATGTATTGTAATTGTAATATTAAGTCCTCCTGAAACTATTTTGTAGGCTTTGTAATAAAATAAATAAATAAATTATTATTGTACAATAATATCGTTTCATTGGAAAACTTTTATATTAAAATTTAAACTCGATTTACTCACAGTTCGCTTAAATATTATTCAAGATCGATTCATTAATATTTGAATGAAAAAACAAATTTATATTTGTATAAAATAATCAATTTCAAATAATCACAGTATTGCACAATATAATTTAAATGGTTTGCCTTCGATTTCATATTGAGAATATAATATTTATCTTCGACGAAATGTTAATCACCCTTGAGTTTTGTCTTCTGTATTAAAAACAATTTGGGAAACCATCATTAACATGGTCCGGATTTGAAATATCTATACAAATTTATAATATCATATTTAGAATTATGGATTTTTTATGGAAATGCATTTAAAATTTTGTACTTTCTTTATGAAAAGTTTCTTTGACGTTGAAATGTTTCTACGTGGAAATTAAGTAAAAAAATGCCTTTTTTTTAAAATTACGTAAAAAATTCAAAGAAAAATTTATTAACTATTTGTCAATTAAATACTTTAAAAGATTTGATGATTTGATTGGAAATTCAGGCTACGAATAACCATCGACAATTTCGAGTGCACGAATCAATCTATTGTAGACTGATTCAAAAAGAGTTCGATTCCTATTGATGTAGAGTTGTGCTGATTTGGTTTTGGCAAAGACAGGTCCAGCCATTTTAAAGATAGGGATAAAAAATAACAAAAATGGCAATCCAGTTTTATTTGACAGAGCGGATTTGAATGATTTATAAAATACTTTATTTGTATTGATAAAATGAAGAAGTGATTAAATTTTGAAGAAGTGAGAGGAAATTCCAGCCGTTTCACAGATCCAATGAAAAACAATAAAAAATGGGAATTTGGGAATCAAAAATGATTACTAGACATATGCATATCTGATTAACAGATATTTTATAAAGATTATAGGTTTATAATGTTTTGTATAAAACGACCATGCGGCGCGATTTCTTTAAAACAAATTTAAAAAAATCAAAATTTTAAAAATTCAAATTATCAAAAAAGTCAAACTTTTTCAAAAATTTCAAAATTCTCAAACATCAAATTTTTTCAAAGTTTTTAAGATTTTTAACTTATGGTACGAGAAGTTCTACCATATTCCACATACACAACTAGTTATGATATCTTGTTCGATGCAGACGACCACAATGCAGTAGAAATTTAAAATTTTAAAGTTTGTAATTTTTTTTGCAAATTCTCCAACAACCCAAGGAATGTAATATGTCATATCATGTGAATCAAGCTCACTCGAATGGTAATAGTGTAGTTATTCAGACGTCTGGCCTCTTGTCCGTTGTAGGGATTTATCGCGTTGTGATATCTCCGTGCGTACGGCGCACTCACGCCGAATAGAATATATTCGCGACGCGGGTGCATTTACGCAGACTTTGCGATTACCCGTTAGAGCTGGTCGCTGGTACAGAATTAATTTGAAAGCTTCGACGATCGGACGATTCGACGATCCGAGTTCCCATGTTCTATTTATCGATGCACGTGTATATTTCGAGATACGATGATGAGTTTATATTCAATTCATAACGACGCTGATAGAATTTAAATATATATCGGATTATCGAATGCTCCGTTCTCTCAAAAATTGCTAATTTTTGCACATCTTTCTCCTTATGTATAAAATGGCTGAAAATGCCTTTGCAAAGGCATTTCTACTAGTGCATAGGACTTGAATATTTTTTGAATCATTCTAATCGTATGCCCTGTTCTCGCAAAAACCGTCTTTCTATTTTTTGCACTCCTTACCTCGTATCTCCGAAATGCCTAGACTTGCTTTTGACAAAAACTGTTTGGCACGTCTCCCTCTCAATAAGAATAGAATGCTTCCTGAATCATTCAAATCGGTTGATCCATTTGCCCAAAATCGTAGATGAAACATTGTATCCATTTACACACATCTATTTTCTCTAATGTATGCCAAACCTCTCAAACGTAAACATACGCAAACATTTTCATTTTGAATTTTGGGGTGATTACTATAACATATCCTACTGGAAGTTGAAAAAACAATTATTCAAAAGATAACAGTTTGGGATCGTGCTGATTAGTTTTTGCAAAGTACGACGAGACCGTTTCATTTATAGTTGGAAAACAATTGTTGGACAAATTTGACAAAACTATTTTGGATGATAGAGGTCATAGTCTTAAAGAGCAGCTAAAAAAATTATAGGCCTACGACAAATGGTTTAAATATATTAATTCATAATAGTTATAACACACCGTGCAATTAAAAAATACACGTGGTTGATATTAGAGTCATTATTTGTTATATATGGTGTAATATTTAAACTATTTGAGGAAAATTTCTAACATACTTAGCGAATTTTCCATTGTCTTTCATATTGTCTTCACACTCAATTCACAACAACAAAATTACAATTAGATTTACATGAATAATTGACAAATAATAAACTGCAAAAAACTACCAAACTCATCATAGGAAAAACAGCAGATCACATTTTCAAACAAACTCGAGTAAAAGAAAAACAGTTTAGTCAAAATATAAAATTAGTTGTTTAACAGATACAGATATAGCCTGACTAGACATGAACAATTAACAAATGAAGGCATTTTTTAATCAGAAAATTGCAAAAACAGTTAAGTAAGATATTTTTGAAACAAATGAAACAAGATTTTATGCTTTCATTCTTATATAAATATAGTTAGAAAACAAAATAAATCAATAAAATTCGTTTCGTTATTCGATGTAATAAAATTAAGTTTAGATATTCGGGCTGAACTAATTCTATTAATATTCCGTATGATGTTTTGCATTGTTTTTATTGCAAACTTTATATTCAGTTTGCTGATTTCTATAACTGTTAATTGGATGCCAGTCTATTGTTTGTGAGTTTTAGACTATTCTCGATTGATTATTCTAGAGTTGTATCAAAAGATCATGTGCGTTCCAGTATTAAAACAGTTTAATGGTTACATTCTTATTTATTGGCAATAATATTGTTCTATATAAATAACGCTGTGAAACCAGACAGAACAAGATTCAGTAATTTTTACTTCGTTCACGCAGAGTCATTTAATGAAAATTATGTAATGAAAAATAAGTGGAATCTAAAAGAAATCTCTGGTAAAAATGCATATATATTATGGTGTTTTATAAAAAATAACAAATACTTTCTATAACTTTTCAAAATATTATTATTTAATTTTATGAATGTTTACATCAGAATTTCAGAATTAGATTTTGTTTCACTGCGGGTTATTATAAATTTCGCAAAATAAAAAAAACGTAAATAATAATATTTATAATTTAAAACTCAATTAAAAAAATGAATGTTCTATAATTTCAATATTTACTGTTCAGAACAAAACATTTTGGCATACCGAAAAAATGTGTATTTGTGTGTGAGTATACATAAATTTTTGTCGATCATTTCGAAAGCACATATCAACCGATTTGAATGATTCAAAAACATTAGATTCCTATTAATGAGGAGACGTGTTGATTATTTATTTGCCATGACAGATCCATCCGTTTCGAAAATACGAGTCAAAAGTGCAAAAATAGACATTCAATTTTTCAGAAAACGGAGATGTTTCTTAGAAATTAAGAGAATAGTAAAAAAAAAATCGTCTACGTTTTAGCCAAAAATTCTGAAACGATTTTAAAAATTCAAAAATTCCGCGAAAGATATTATTTGGTAATCGTGGTGATTAAAACCGCACAAAGATCGGCGAAGCCGTTTTTTAACTTCCCGTAGGCTAAGTTATAGTAATGGGCCGAAAATCGAAAATGAAAATTTTTGCATTTCTGACGTTTTGAAGGTTTCTGAACATTTTGGCATACCTCAGAAAAAATGGATGTGTGTGTGTGTGTGTGTTTTGTATGTCCGCTTTTTTTCGTCCACGTTTTCGGGCGCACGGATCAACCGATTTGAATGGTTTAAAAAACATTCGATTCCTATTGATAGGGAGATGTGCTGATTAGTTTTTGGCAAAGGCAGGTCCAGCCATTACGGAGATATGGAGCAAAGAGTGCAGAAAATAGAAAGCGAGTTTTTGAGAGAACGGATCAACCGATTTGAATGGTTTAAAAAACTTTCGATTCGTATTAATAAGGAGACGTGCTGATTAGTTTTTGTCAAAGGCAGGTCTAACCGTTCGAAGATATGGGGCAAAAAGGGCCAAAATCGGTAACTCAGTTTTTAAGAGAACGGAGCGTATAATTCAAAAAACATTTTACTTGTATTAACAAGATGAAGATTTGATCAAATTGCCATGAAGATAGGTCTAGCGGTTTCGGAGATCTAGTAAAAAAAACTAAAAAAAAAATAACATTTGGCGGTCAACAATAATCATTAGACATTAGACATGTGCACATCAAATTATCAGATATTTTATAGAGATTTTAACAATAAGTGTAAGTTTTGTTAACATTCCTATGGGTTTCGTACCAGTGTTTATCCGTTAAACGACGACGCGGCGCTTACGCGCTTCGATATTTAGTCTCTATGCATTTAAAGCAGTACGATTGCTTTGAAAAAAAGTTCAGAATTTCCAAAATATTTCAAAATAAATTTTTCAACAAAAAGTAAGTTTTTGTCAAAAATTTATAGTTACTCAAAAATCTATTTTTTCAGAGTAAATTTTTTCCAAAAATGTTAATCTTTTCAAAAAAAAAATAATTTTTGGTACGGGAAGTTCCAGCAATTTGCCTTAAGGCACGATGTCATGTTACCAGTTAACTTTAAATATTGTTTGATTAAGTCAATTATAACACATTTCGGAAAGTTCATGCGACTTGCGTCAAGGCAAAATGCCACTTTCAACTAGTTGATTTCTTGTCATTAAGATGAAATTATTCAAAAATATGATTTCAAGCACCATCA